GAAAGGCTCTTAAAACCCAGTGTCAGTGTTGGAGAAAACTCCTGAGAATACCATGGACAGCCAAGAAAACAAACAAATGGATCATTGAATAAATCAACTCAGAGTTCTCACTGGAGACACAAATGATCGGGCTGAAATTATCCTACTTCAGACACATTATGCAAAGACCTCTCTTTCTGGAGAAGGCTCTAATGCTGGGAAAGGTAGAAGGAAAGAGAAGAAAAGGATGACCAGCAGCAAGGCGGATGGACTCAGGGACAGTGGCAAAGGATTAAAAGACCTTGAAGAACAGGTTAGAGATAGATCGTCATGGAGAAAATCTATCTATGTGGTTACTAAGAATGGACACTGACTTGATGGCACATAATGTCAATCTTAAAACTTGCCTGTTCCAGCAGGACTTGGGATATTGTGAATTTGCTCCCTCTTGTAAAGTTGGGTCTTGTTTTTATGGAGGTTTGTTTCCCTGATGGGAAACAAAATGGGATTTTTTATTATTGTTACTGTTTCCTTTTTGATGTTACCATTCACACTGACCACCTGGAGGCAGGTGCTGCGTGACCAGTTTCATCCTATATGGCACCTGTCAGATGTAGGTAGCCAGATATTATTCGATGGGGTTCGGTGGGAAATTGAACTCATGGACCTTGGCCCTTTAAGTAACTTGTATACAGTGTGTTAGTTTTAGGAGCTATCTAAGTCCTGGTGCTCTAAAGTGCCAAAATTCATGAGTTCAATTCCCAATAGAGGTTGGAACCCCATAGAATAACATCTGGCTACCTGTGTCTGATGAGTCCCATATAGGATGAAACCAGTCACATAGTGCCTGCCTCTTGAAACCACCACATAGGATATAACTATGTAAAAAATAGGGGCTTGGGGGGTAGAAGACATGTAAAACCCTGTACATGGAGGCATGACATGTAACATCTGCATCTCTTGCTTCTTCTCAAGAGGTGAACCGAATATACCATTCTGATAGTTTCTCATGTTACATATACTTTTAACCTTATGTATGGAGATTGGGTACTGTATGTAAGTTGCTCAGAGCTGACGATGATCAGGGGCACTGAAGCCCATTAAATAAGCAAACAAAGTATTTACAGGTGAATTTAACCAGTGAGAGCAGATGTGGCAAGATAAGAAACTGATGGCCTGAGTTAATGAAACGAAGTCCTTGCCACATTAAATATAGCTGGGATGAAGGCCTAGTTCCCTTTCAGACGCTGCTGATATACAACTCCCAGTGGAGCTGGGACTGTTGGGAGTTCTGCATCAGGAACCACTGGAGGGCCACAAGTTGCCCACTTGAGTTTGTAGTGTTTCCCTGCATTTGGGCAGCTGTTTGGGCAACAGCAGGCCTAATTCAGATAATGGAGGAAAGCAAGTACTAAGATGCAAGAAGCTTTTTAAAGGTTATTGGCTCAGATCTCCAAGTTAGTTTCACATTTCATAGCAGTCTCAAGATCAGGCAGTCTTTCCTATATGGTTTCCCTCTGCCCCACAGAGCCAGTCATGACTCAGACCACAAAAGAACATGAAGCCAGACTTTGTAGAGGTAATTCTATCAGTTTATCAATGTCTTTATTACAGGCAACTGTCTTTATTCTTTTCTGTTACTGCAAGATGTTCAGAACAATGAATCATACTAACATTATTCTAATAGGAAAACACGAACCTATAAAAATAAACATGGTTAAAGCCTTGGCAGTGCAACCAATGGAATGATGCATTTGGCATTAAAGCATGCAGTCCGTCAAAGGACATCCTGGGGATGTTGCCATCTTCCATAAGCAGAGTGAGGGGAGATCTTCACACAAGTCTCTTCCCGCGTGGTGATGGACAAATCACACAAATCAACCATGGAGGCCAAAAGTAGAAACAGTTAGCAGAGATGGCTAGAGCAACTAAGGGCATACATCAGTTTTCCCCCAAATGGTGCCAGCCATTGCATACAACTGTTCCCAGTATCATGCATTTGGTTCATTTTTTTTTACAGGTTTTTTAAAATTGCTTTTGCCTTTTTGGACAGACATTTCCCTAATATTCATGCCTTTAAGGATTGCAGTTCAGTCCTTTGAACTAGAAAGGTCAAAGGGCTGGAAATTGAGAACATTAAGTTTGGGGCATTGCTCCAAAAATACAGAATTAGATAAATTAACATTCATACCCTCTGCCTTAGGAACAGGCAGTTCCATAATCTTCCCATTCCACCTTAGACCAGGAAAATATAAAAGTCTTAACTGGGTACCACAAAGGCCTTGGGGTTGGTCCAGACCAGCCACTGTGGAGAACGTTCTACAACCAAGGTGCTACAGGAGAAAACGCTCATTTCTTGGTTATCACCAGCCTTATTTTGAACAGCGGAAAATTCAACACTGCTTCCAGAGTGTACCTTAATGTTGGGGCAAGTTGATTAGCAGCAGTTAGGCCTTCATGGCTGTGCTGAATCAAAAAACACAAGGGCACAAGTGCCTTCCTCTTATGCCTGCTAACCCCTGAGTGGTGGATGATAGAAATACTAGCGAAATGTATCTGGAGGATACATTTTGTGATTGTTGAAGGGGTAGAAAAATAATGGAAGAGAGATGAATGGTACATAGAAGTTTGGAAAGCATTTTTTTTAAAGGATATTTGATACAAACAGTATGTTTCTCTGTTGTTTTTGTCTTTATGATTACCATCTTTTTCCAAGTATCACGCCTCTAGCCCCAAAAATCCAGTTTTGATCTCCTTTCATCTTAACCTTTAAATACTTGCCCCAGTCACCAGGATGACAATGATCTAGAATTTTTTCATGACCTATTTTCCATTCTCCTCCCTTGCTCCTAACTAGAGGTGTCTCATGGAGCAAAAGCTTGGGTTTTCTCACTCATACACATACACATATCAAAGCATTGTTCTGGTATATTTTGAAGTAGAAAATGTAGTTGATCAGCCATCAGTAAGCTACTCCAAGATCTTTGAACCGTGGATTCAGAGAGGAGAACACAGGGCCTTCTGCCTTGGACATCTTCAATTAAACCAAGTGCTGAGTACTGTAGGTAACATGGCTACTATGTCGGAAAAAATTATCTAGGTCTGGCAGAGTTACGCGAGGCTGGATCCCCCATGATGGCTCGCTGTGGCTCCAGAGAGGGCCAGTGCTGCTGGGATTGTGTGTCTCTCTCTGGAGGTCCTCAGTGGAATCATAGCTTCCCAGTCCTGCAGGGTCCAGAAACCAGTCATTTGAACGCTGGATCCAAAGTGGAACTGTATCTGATGGCCTTGAGAGGACGTCTGGCTGTCTATTACTGTGTGTGGGCTCAATCCACAGTGTCCCACCTTGCCTCCACACTGTCGGCAAAGCTCCTGTTTCTTGAGGCAGGGACCCACGGAAAACCTGTTCACAGAGGACAGCTGATACCACCATGAACACAGCTGCGATGATAGCGAGGCTTACCATGATCAGCAAGCAGTTACCACAGTCACTTAACAGGGAGGCGGTGGAAGGGGGTGGCATCTCAATACTTGTTGGGGGCAAGTGGACAAGAACCAAGCCAGATTAAAGCTGCATCTGGAACCAATATTACTTTTGTTAGAAAGAAGCTGGATTGAGAAGAAAATGGGAGAAGACAGGTCAGAGAAAAGAGCTAGCAATCTTTGATATGAAGTGAGTGGAGTTGGGCAAACTCAGCCCAACAACTCAAAACAGCTCATATTTGGCAGCCCAACAACTCTCTACGTCTACATGCATTGGCTTATACCAGTATTAACTTGGTACTCTCCAGATGTGTAGGATGACAGTTCTCCAAATACTCAGCCATTACAGTTATCATTGGCTAGAAATTGTAGCCCAAAGACATTTGAAAGGCACATGACTGGGAAAGGCTGGACTAGAACAAGCTCTGCCTTGCAAATCCCAACCATTTTTACAGTCCTTCTAAGCCCTGATTGTATCTTCTCACTGGGCAGTTTGCTCCAGTTTGTACTATTTCAATACTAGGGCCATGCATTGCTTTGGACTTATATACCAAATGTAGTGCATGTGTGCAGCTCTTTAAAGCAGCCACATCTTTTCCTGGAACTTCATGACAGGTGCAGAGGGCAGTTGTGAGATCCCAGGAAAAGACATTGCTGCTTTAAAGAGTTGCAAACAGGCTCTACATTCATGCCCACACATACTCCAAAGCACTTTTTGGAATCGACTCCAAGTTGCTGTGCAGCTGTATTGTATACCAGGCATATACAGGCCAAAATATCTGGACAACACTAGGTTGAAGGAGGGCTGTTGTATCTTTTTCTATGTTGCTTTAGGCAATTTGCTGTGGTAGTATTAAAAAACTGAAGAGTGATTAGGAAGGCCCATCCTCAAATAGCCTCAGACAAAGTGATTATCCTGAACGTATCAAGCAAGGCTAAATGGAGAGTTTTTCAGAGGAAAGGTGGGATGTAAACCTAATTAATCACCATAAAAGTCCAAAACAACAACATTGAAGTAGGGTCTAAGCTAGCAATGAGCTTCTGTTTTCTTCTCTGTAGGGTTATGCTGCTTGCTCCAACCTGGCACCCTTCAGATAATAGCTGGGAAGATTGAAGTTATAATCCCAGCCAAACCAGAGGAAGCCAGCTGAGAAATGTGACGTTTGCTTTCTGCTCAGAGGCACCGAAGAAGCTACGGAGAAGAGGGGTTAGAAGAAGGGGAGGAAAAAAAATCTAACCTCAGATGTTGTAGATCGCGCTGGATTCAATGTTCAAGCGTAATGGCCTAGGAAGAGCTTCGTACCGTTGACTTGCCTTTACAACCGTGGAGAAAAGGATGTGGGATACATGGCGAGTCACATCACTTCCTGGGCACACCCATTCAAAGCTGTGGGCTGAGAGAAAAGCACTTCCTCCTATCAGACTTATCTTTCAACTCAGGTGACTGCTCATCCTCTGCTCAACAGCGAGAACTACTGTGCTACTTCCCGTTTGAAGGAAAAAGACAGAGACAAACAAAACCCACCACAGGAGAAAAATATACAGCATAAATTTAATTCAGCTACTATGGAGCACAATTAAATTAGGGGGGGGGGATTATTACAGCCAAGACAGTTCAAGTTTCCAGGTTGTTGGTTCTGTGGTTTTTTTTTTTCCCCTCTCTCATGCCGTTTTTCAAAGACAAGGAAGAAATATATGCACACACTCAGGATTTAAACTAGTATAGAAACTGCTGTGATCATAAATTAATGCAGGTAACTGACAAAAAGAGATGAAACACCAGCAAAATAAAGAAACCATCAATCGCCAACAAAACAAAAATAAAAAATTAATAACACAAGTGTCCAAAACACATGCACACATGAAACCCACTGGGAGAAAAGAGGTAGATTTTTGAAGGGGTGTGAAATTAATGGAGGAATACATTTCATAAAGAAAGGAGGTTGATCTGGCTGCAGGCAGGAAAGGGGGGGGCGGAGCTTACAAGCATTCCAAATCCAGCATGAAGGCCAAACTCAATTTTTCAGGAAACTCCACATATTTGTAAAGAAAAGAAGCACTTTCTGAAAATATAGCAGAAATGTGTCAGCAGAGCTCAGGACCTCCATCCACTTCTTTTGACAGGAGTGTCACACCAGGAGAGGGGAAACCTGGAGAACAAGTGCTTTGGAGGGCCAAAAGCACACACCAAGGAAGTATTTGGCATCTTACCCCAAAATTCTAATTTCCCCTCTGTGTGTGTGTGTGTGTGTGTGTGTGTGTCTGCGTGCACGCACGTGAAACCACTGCTCTTTCTTTCAAGCAACGTTTACTTCAACTCAACATGCCCTTCTGTGGCCTCTTTAGGATAACGGAAGATTGAGTGGGAGGGGGGTATGATTATGGGTGTGACCTACTAGAACCTTCCTCAAAATTGTCCCCCTCCCCGCCCCCCCGGAGAGGTTTAAGGAAGCAAAATGAATGCCTAAAGTTGTACAGGTTTCCCAGAAGCTCCTGGAAACCAAAGATGACTACTCTACACGCAGCCCTTGGTTGCAAGACATATGTGCACCTCTGTTGTAGATTCAAAAAATTGAGCCTTACCGTTCATTTCTCCCACCCATCCCCCTTTGGGAAATCTTTTAAGGAGAAGATGATTTGGGGAGAAACACATCCATCCTTAGTCTAAGGCTTCGGGGTGGGGGGGACTCTTTGAAACAGAAAGAACAGACACACCTCATTTCAAGAAAACAACTGGCCATCCCTTTTCGGAGGTAGCCAGGTAAGACCCCACGTGTAAAGGAAGGGGGAAATACCGGTGCAGAGCTAGGGAGAAGGAAAGGAACTCAGTGCCCACAACCCAGAGTTTTCCAGTGCAGTATAGGAATGGGGGAAAGGGAAAGACATCCATCAGTGAAAAAAATCCCTTCCCAAATTTCCCCACTTCCAAATAATAATAATAATAGTAATAATAATAATAATATAATGACACAGACATTTCTCCCCCCCCTTCCCAAATGCCTGTCCATGAGTCAAAATATTCAAGAGTGCAGGATGAAGAGCAGCGTCTCCCTCTTCTTCTCATATCTCCCAGCGACAACGCCATCCCCTTCTGTGTTTCGTCCCTCTTCTCTTTCCCCTCATGACCGTCCAAGGGGCATCTTCATCTCTCTTCCTTTTTAGACACCTTGGAAGAGTGCCATGCTGTGGAGCTGCCAAGTGGGAGGAAAATAAAAGAATTACTTCCTCCTCTTCCTCAGACAGAGCCACAAGCTTGCTGGTAAGAGATTGGACTTCCAGGCAGGCCAGCAAGCCACCAACGTCTGAGACTCACCGGATGAAGGTTTTGAAGGCAGCTGACTGGGGGTTGATACAGAGCGGAACCCGTTTCCCATGCTGCTGTTCCAAGATAAACCTGTGCACCAGTTCTGAAAAGCAAAGAGTTCATTTCAATTTGCTCGCTATCAGGGCCACAAAAATCCGCTCCAATTTTTGCAGCCCAAATCTAATACAGTAGTTCTGTTGTTACATAATATACGTCCCGCTTTTCTTCCCCTCTGTCTTTCTGCCTATTTTCATTCTGCCTCCCTCAGCTCAGGCAAGCCAAGGACATCAGAGCAATTTGGGATGACAAAAGCAGTGAATCACAAGAGAATCCCAGATCCAGACAACTTGCCGTCCAAGTGTCTTGCCCCATATATCACTTATAACTTCACCTGCAGATTCGGATAAATCCCTACTAGTGCAGAATCTTTATCATCTGAAGATCCCGTTCCTCCAAAATACATAAAAAGCCATTGTTGCTGCATGGGTGTGCAGGGGAGTTGGGAGATTCAGCAGCCATATGTGATGCATTTGTTAGGACGAAATGACACAAGAGGATGTGTCAGCCTTTGAGTTCTCCAGAACTCATAATTACAGAAGACATTACGAAAAACACAGAGCATGGGGAAGCAGCGCAACAATCCAAAAATCAGACCAAAGGTTTAAATCACAAAGTCTGTCTCTGGTGCAATTTGTGGAACCATTACACACCATAATTTCCATCACCTGCTTAGGGTGGGAAGGTGGGATCAATATGAGCTCCTAAATCAGCAGCTACATCAAGAAAGGAGCCTTCTGAAGACCCCAAGATCTGCGAGGAGATTTGGACCCGATCAACTACCTTTGACCTGCCAGACCGAGGTGAGGTTCTTTTCATAAGAGCCGTCAAATTTGGGGTTGGCCCGGGGCTCAAAGTCATTGGTGTAAATGCGGCCCAAGGAGGCAGAAAAGCAGCAAGTGCACATACAGGTGTGGTATCTCAGTCGCCCCTCGTCTAAGTAAGGATGAGAAAGAGCATCCTTGGCAGAGATCCTCTTGGCCTGCAGAAGAAAGGAGGATGGTCAGCATCGCCCAAGAAGTCCCACTGGGAGAACTCTACGGTATACAACGTCAACCAGTTAAGAAATCTCAGTTCGATGCTTGGGTTTGCAGAGAAAGGCCTCTTTTTCACTGCGCCTTGTCAGTGATGGCAGCCAAAAACATCCAGATGGCTCCATCCATGGCTTGCTAGCATTATGCATAAAGAAGAGCTCTTGACTGATTCTCTTCAGTCACGGTGTCTTTTGGACTTCCAGCTTGCAGAGAAAGAGAGAAACACTGCGAAGATCACCAGTTGCTGCTGTCTCATTCAGTTAAAGTTCCCTTACAGCTATGCCAGTGTTATTCATTCCAGCATTTGCTGTTGTCAGGCACACAGAATGTGGTCATAAATGCATGCATTGGTCAGAAAATGAATTTTTTATTACCATGGTATTTGCGAATGGTCGCTAACTGAGGTAGTCGCTAAACGAGGAGTGGATGTATATGTTTCTGTCCTCTGGCATATCTGGGGGTTTACCTCTATCTGTTCAATTTATTCCCCTAACAAGCATAACAGCAATATTGAAGAGAGAGAGAGAGACAATGCGACTGGCTTCAAGTTTTCCTTGGACTACATTACCAACTTACTGGATCAAAGACCAACATCCGGCAGAGCAAATGGACAGCTTCGTGGGTTGCTTCTCCAGAGAGCATGTAAAGGACAGACAATGATGGCTAGAAAAAAGATGCAAAGTGGTTAACAGGCTTCCCTTGCTCCCACGGCCCTTACCTTCGCAGTCTGGGTAATACTCACTGGCTTGTGACTGCCACGCAGGATGTGGGCACGGGCCCCCTCACAGGCTGAACGCAGGGCAGCAACGGGAGGAGTCCCCAGGAGATCCGTAATCAGGTCCAACTGCCACCCGTAGACCAAAGGAAGGGGAGAAGACGAAGAAATGGAGAGAGAGAACGAAAAGAAGAAAGTGTTTTTTTAAGTTAGCTCTTCAGTGCCAAACATTGGACATTTTGTTGAGCTACAAGCATAAATATTCTTTCATGCTATCTGCAGCCACACACAAGCAACTCTTTCTCCAAAGGCTGTTTCTCCCACTAGAGATACCTGCTGAATTGGGCTCTGGGCCTGAAAGAGGATACGTCTGCCAAGGAGTTCAGCGAAAATGCAGCCCACAGACCAAATGTCAATGGGACGTCCATAATGCCTGCTGCCCATCAGGATCTCAGGGGCCCGGTAATATTGAGTAACGACCTCTTGAGTCATGTGCTGGGACTCGTCAGGCTCCTCTACCCGGGCCAAACCGAAATCACAGATCTGAAGGAAAGATGCAAATGTTTTGTCAACCTGGGGAAGCCTCTAGGAGGATAACACTTCCAGAGAACAGACCCACAGTTTTCTCTACTATCTGCTGCTCTCTGAGAATCAACATTCCTTCAATGCATTGAATGTTATTTCCGGTACATTCTAAAATGGGAGCTGGATGGGTGGCTCTAGGCCAGTGTTTCTCAACCTTGGGAACTTTAAGATGTGTGGACTTCAACTCCCAGAATTCCCCCTCCCCCCACGCTGGCTGGAGAATTTTGGGGGGTGGAGGGCACACC